TCATGTAAAATACCTTCGTTATTTCTACTCTTGTGTTCGTGTTGTTCTTCCTTGGTTCTAACCTGGACCATAACAATAAGATTACTATAATACCCTTAAAATAATAAATAAAACAATACAATTTTCATATATACTATATTAGACAATGATTTTTTATCCCTAGTATTTAATGCAATATGGAGTGACTCTAAACCCATCTTTCTTTTAATGTACCTTTGAACATCAAACCAAAATATTATCCTTCTTGACTCTATATTCTCATACGTACGATGTTTTGCGAATTGGATAAACACTCGCCTTTTCTTTATGGAAAAGTATAACTGTTCGAAACTCTACATTTTATGATCCTAAATTGCTTTAGGAAATAGGTTTATGATGGTCACATATATTTTCAACTTATATGCTTAACATGAAAAATTTCTTATATTGACGGCAGTCATTTTCTGATTGCTTTTTGAACGTGTATCAATGAATCTTTTACGGTTGTATTGTAGAACTTTCTGACATTGTAAGTAATACTTTTCGAAAGGTCTAGCGACAAAATGATTGCCTTATACGATTGTTTAAGCTTATATAGATTCACTATCATTTATCGACCCAATAGTCTAATAATTGTAACTAAGCCCATGCGTAAGGGAAACTATTTTAAATACGATTATTATTAACAAATAAAATGTAAAATTTTTAATTTTATTTTAAACCTTATTTAAAGAGAAATTTAAAAAGTGTTTTTAAATTATACCAATCAGAAAAAAATATTTAGAAAGACTTAAATGTGCTTTAATATATTAGAGTCCCAAATTACAAAAGAGAAAATAATTATTCTCTAAAAGTTAGCGTATTCATGTCCCTAAATTAAATGACTCCAATGTATAATACTTGTGTAGAACAAAAATAATTTAAATGAAACACGTATGCAGATAGCTAGACAGATAGATAGATAGATAGATAAAAAAGAAGAGAGACTGATAGATAGATAGATAGATAGATAGATGAATAGATAGATAGAAGAAGAGACTGAGATAGATAGATAGATAGATAGATAGATAGATAGATAGATAGATAAAAGAAGAGACTGAGATAGATAGATAGATAGATAGATAGATAGATAGATAGATAGATAAAAGAAGAGACTGAGATAGATAGATAGATAATGGATAGATAGATAGATGAATGAATAGATAGATAAAAGAAGATACTGAGATAGATGAATGGATAGATAGATGAGATAGACTCAGATAGATAGATAGATAGATGGAAGAAGAGACTGAGATAGATAGATGGATAGATAGATAGATGAATGAATGATAGATAGAAGAAGGACTGAGATAGATAGATAGATGGATAGATGATGGATAGAAGAAGGGACTGAGGATAGATGGATGGATAGATGGATAGATGAATAGATGAAAGAAGAGACTGAGATAGATGGATGGATGGATGGATGGATAGATAAAAGAAGAGACTGAGATAGATAGATAGATGGATGATAGATAGATAGATAGATAGATAAATAAAGAAGATGAGATAGATAGATAGATAGATGGATAGATAGATAGATAGATAAAAGAAGAGACTGAGATAGATAGATAGATAGATAGATAGATAGATAGATAGATGTTTGCGCACACCCCTCATTTAAAGATACGCAAAACAGGTCGATATAAATTTCCATCTGGAAAAAGAAAACGGCTGTCGAATAGAAAATGTTTAACACCAATGTCTGTGATAAAGTAAATACAAAATTTGTTATTCAAATGCAGATAACGAATGTTCTGTAATCGATCAGTTTGAATTTATTACACGATGACTGGTGTCAGAGTAAAGAGTGTGAGATTCGCTCTTTTCCCAAAACGGAATAATCAGCATTCAAATTTCCTATACCTTCTGTTTTGATAATTGTTATATCATGAAACAAAGAAACATCTTATCATTTTATTTATGTATCGATTTTTTCAATAGTTTTCGTTAAAAAAAACTATTGATATAGTCATAACTCCGTATTGGCGCTTATGTTGTAATTACTTTTAATCACTTCACCTCCAAGGGAGGCAACAAAGCCACTAAGATGCAAAGGGATAATGAGTGTGAAAGAATATAAGAAAAATAAAAGCATTTATAGAACTTAAGAAGAAAGAATATAACCATTGACATTGCATTCAAATTTTTAAACATTAAATTTAACTGGAAAGCAAGAAACCGGAATTGGGTTCCATAAGCGAGAAGTGCTAGAAAAATGGTAGCATAGTACTTCCGGTTACATGTAGCCATTTCAACTGTAAAGTGATGAGATCTTGCCGCCAATCTAGTACTTTTCTTAAATTCATAAATTCTAGGTACGATAAAGGAAAATTCATCAGAATAATTACCATGAATGTATTTATAGAGAAAGCACAGCGAAGCTACATTATGGTGATGGGGAAGCGACTGAAGCCGACATGCCAGGTCAAGATTAATAACATTGCAGATTCTTCTTTGGATTTTATCAAGGATCTCTAAAGATATAGCATGTGCCTCAGACCATATGCGCCAACAATATTCAAAGCATGAACAAATTTAAGCTAGATTCTGGCTCAAAAAATTGTCTAGCACAACATAGTGAATCAACTTTCTTAGCAACAGACCTAAAAATTGATTCAATTTAATCTTTCCACTTCATGTCATCGGAAAACGTTACTTGAAGCAGATTTCATTGTTTTTATTCATTCTTAAGTTGTTCATATGTCATCTATTCTTATATTGCCTTTAATAAAGCATCATTGCGACCAACCATTCCAATAAATCTTTCTAATTGCACTGAAGGAACAAACTGGTCTGTTTTCTTGCAGAGAAAAGTGTCATTTTTCTCGTCTCTAAATTCAACGATGTATTGTGTATTGCATCTTCATTATTTTTGCTTGTTGTCTTCAGTTACCAGTTATTATTGAACAATTTCTGTCTCAATATCGAATCACAGCAAAACAGTTTTAAAGTATCCAACCTTTCCTAAAACTAACTGAAATCAAATTATTCACTTCATTTCTCATCATTGTCATGTAACCGAATTCTAAATTTTATTTCCGATTAGATAGTTTGTTTTTTTTATCAACAAGTACATCTAGCCACAAAAGGGTGAAATATTTCCAAAATTACTCCATTATATTTTAAAATCATTTTATCGGATTTCACAGGATTAATTTGGTTTATATATATATTTTTCATATCAAGCATGGAATAGTATATTCATTATCTCCTTTGATGAAAAGTTTCGGATATTCAGGATAAATCTGAAAAGTTTCATATCAAATGGATATTGAATAAATGGGGGGCAATGGACTCATTTTAAATAAGTATTTTATAGTATAGCTGGCTACTCGTATTCGAAGATAACCGTCTACTAGCCAATCCCATTTGCAGACGCTTGCTCAGACGCATCTGTGTTTATTCAACACCCACAGACAGATCAGTCATACATAGCCATTATATTTTAAAATCATTTTATCGGATTTCATAGGTGTTTATATATACAGGTGGAATACTGGGATAAAAAGTTTCATGTAAATGGACACGAATAAATGGGGGGGCATGGACTCATCCAATAAAGGAAATAAACAGAATAAGAAATCACCCCATCCCAGTTATTTTATTTTATTTTAGTTTAGGGTTAATGCTGAAAAGTATTTAGGGTCAGGTCTTCAAGATTGTTTATTTACGATGTTTGGGTGGTTGTAGGAAATGCCTATATAAATAAATTAGGTTTATTTATGGGCATGTTCTCTAGATTGCATACACACACACACACACACACACATATATATATATATATATATATATATATATATATATATATATGAAGAAATATAGTTTTAAGGTGTGCTATATTTATGGGATAAAGTGCTCAATATCAGAGATAGAGCGTATGTAAATATAAATATAAAAGTGAACATTGAAGTCAACACTCAGAGGCGACAGGCTGTTTCATGCTAGGCATAATCGTCAGACGACCTGACGATTGCGCCTAGCATGAAACAGCCTGTCTTCTCTGAGTGCCTGTCTTCTCTGAGTGTTGATTTCAATGTTCACTTTTTATATTTATGTTTATATATATATATATATATATATATATATATATATATATATATATATATAAATACTCGATTGCAAAAAAAATTTCGGATAGTACAACTTGTAGATGTCAAAACAAATCGGTACAAGAGAAAAAAGTTGAGAAAAAAAAACAACTAAAACATTTGAACAGGGCGAAAGCAGAAACAAATCGTCTCCATTTCTATTGGAATAGAGGCTTTGGTTTTTCGGGTTTTTTTTTTTTTTGCTTGTTTTGTTTTTTTTTTTTTTTTTTTTGCCCTCTTCTGCCACGTGTTTTTGTGCTTATTAGATTTTAATGGCTTTATCAATAAATACTGTTTTGTCAAATCCTTTTTATCCAGCTTACCCTGAAAATCCGTTTAGGTGAAATCTAGGTGAGGTTTTTCCTGGCTCTTTAGGATTTACATATATATATATATATATATATATATATATATAAATCCTAAAGAGCAAAAAATCCTACCTAGGTATATATATATATATATATATATATATATATATATAAAACATTAATATAAATAAATATATATAAAGCATTAATATTATAAATTAATTGATTTAAAATATGTTTTTTTTTTACACAGTTCTAACCATGTTTCAAAATGAAAGCTGAAAGCTCCCGAATTTAATTTTGTAATTAAATTAAAGACATTAGTTCCATTTCATCCTCAAGCGACTTTTGGAGTAACTTATAAAATTACTGGGTTTTAAAGACACAGGAAAAATCATAATTCACGTTTCCAAGGATACAGGGAAATCCAATTCAACCAGACCAGTATGAAATGGAACTAATGTCTTTAATTTAATTACAAAATTAAATTCGGAGCTTCCAGCTTCCATTTTTGAAACATGGTTAGAACTGTGTAGCGAAAAAAAACATATTTTAAATCAATTAATCTATAATATATATATATATTATTTATTTATTTTATTTATTCCCGCTCTAATTAGCTTATTGAGCCCTCTACATGTTTTAGCTTTACTACTCGCTTGGGTTTTTTTTCTTTGGACTAAAGACTTAAGGCACTGGACGATTTGTTTCGCCCTATTCAAATGTCTTTAGTTCTTTCTTTCTTTTTTTCCATTTTTTTTCCTATCTGGTACCCATTTCTTTTGACATATCTACAAGTTGTGCTATTCGAACTTTTTTTTTTCCAACCAAGTATTACTATTAATATAATTTTAGCTCTAGGTCACCCTATCGAGCACTTTTTTAAGTCAAACGTCATGGAGCAAGTAGATATTGGTTATTCTTATAAAAATATCCCTTTATCAGATAGGCATTTACATGAATTAACGTTACTGAAAATGATCGAATTCTTCATCTCTAGTATAAGATGGAAAGCCCACTTCTTCTTTAATAATAACCAGAATAGTCACCAAGAAATCACGGAGACTTATGGATTTAAAACCTGTGCTCACCCACCCCATATTAAGGAATTAGACAACTTCGAATCCGACTTGATCGGTTTAGTTAAAATGATAAAATATAGAAACTTCATTAGCACCATACAGCAACAAATCATTGGGGATATGAAAGGGATTAAGAATAGCAAAAAGTATTTGTTAAGGCAGATAAATCTAGCTTTCTCTATTATAAGATAAGCCCGAGCAAATATAATAGTATGCTGCACAAGGAAGTGATTAAACACTTTAAGGCCTCTTCTAAGCTAGAAATTGAACTTAATAAGGAAGCTAGTATACTAGATTGTAAATTTAATCTAGAGAATAGAACAGAGATAATCAATATTAAAAATTGTTTTATAACATTAAAAGACCACAAAAATGATTTTTATATTAACCCCGAATGTCGGTTAATCAACCCAACTAAAACACAAATAGGTAATACCAGCAAAATAATATTGCAAGATATATGTCAAACGGTAACAGCAGTTTTAAATATTAACCAATAGCGCGCTACTCGTGACTGTGTAGAATGGTTTAATAATTATGACAAAAACAGCAAATGTTCTTTTGTGAAATAAGACATAAAAATTTTTTACCCATCTATTACGTAAAAAGCGATTAATGAATCTTTAGAGCTGGCTAAGGATTACATTTCAATGTCCAATGATAAAATTGACCTCATTAGGCATTGTTGCAAATCGTTATTACACCATAACGATGTATTATGGATTAAAAAAAGGAAATGGCGGCTATTTTGACAACCCCATGGGGGCATACGACGGAGCCGAGGTATGCGAATTAGTAGGGTGCCGCCTATTAAATAATTTGAATAAGTATATTGACCCTAGTAACCATGTCTATACAGAGAGACGACGAATTAATTATAATAGATAAATGTACCCCCCACCACCAGAAAAAGCGACATAATCCGTAAAAAATTACATTGGATGTTCAAAAAATTCGGGTTTAAATTAGAAATACAAACTATTTTAAAAGTCACTGACTATTTAGACATTAACCTCGACCTACGTAATGGCACAATTTCTCTATTTAAGAAAAGCAATCAACAGCCAGGTTATATTGACGTAGTTTTTAACCGCCCTAGACAGGTTTTAAAACATATAACTAACGGAATTAATTATAGA